TAGAGTCGTTGCCGTAAGAAAAGAGGTTTTTTCTTTCGTAGCCATAGTTTCTACTCGGAGAACTGGTAATAAACCAGTTAACTCCCCAGTTCACCGTCTCAACCTAAAGTCATGTTTGAAGAGGCTGGTATCGGCTTATGTACACAAGCCGTACTCTAGAAGTTTAATGAAAAGTACAAAAATCTCGTGGTTAATTCTCAGGCTGTGGCAGCCTTTTACTAAATTTGAGGTGACAGTGTCCTCGGAGATCATCCGTGATGAAGTCCACGAAGCTGGTTTAACTGACGTGTTGGTGCCTGAACTGATTATTATTTATAACTTACATGGATCTTAAAGCAAAATGGGCATAAGTGTCTACCTATTTTGTGGAACGGTTCTTAGTAATCCAAGATTACAGTCAACATGCTTTGCTAGATTTTCGAGACCTGTACCAAAGACGAAATAACACAAGCGATAGATGTTGCAAACCAGGCTTTCCTTCATGAAAGTAAGTCACTGTAGATGGTGATGCAAAGAAAAGGTAGACTTCATCGGATGTTATTATTGCATTTTGTTAAAGGCTTATCTTCAAAGTACTATTTACTGTACGTTTTTCAGCTGGCTTAATTACCACTTACCAATCAAATCACAAGCTTTGAATTCAACAAACATTTTGACTTTACCTTATGTATATCAAGCACATTTCACATAACACTGTAGGATATAACATCGTTCAATTCTAGGTTTACTTACTTATTACATTGGGCATTTATTTGTCTACCATGAGCATGGAAACGTTTCATATGGTGGTTTCGCTCCAATTGACTCGTGAAATCAACTATTAAATTATTATGATATCCACAAAAACCCCTTCTGATAATGCTAATTGAAAGGTTAACAATTTTTTTCCATTTGTAGAATGCCCTTAACGAAAGTCCGACTCTTACGTAATAAACATACCAACAACTTCATACGTAATAGAAAAAATGTGGGAACATAAATTATTCCTGAAAAACACATATGTATATTTTATTTTTTGGTTTTTTGAGTACTACATCGATAACGTGAGTAAACTGTGATTGTGTGTTCATATCACAATGTTTTCTAAGAATTGTTCACTTAGTTCCCTAAAAACCACGTGTTAATAGCCGCGTAAGAGAAGAGTACAACATTTTCGAGACGAGGTTCTGTCATTGTCCTTATCTTTATATTAGATGACTGAAAATAAATAGATTAGGTAACAAATAGAATTTTAATGTTCCTCAACGTGTATGCAAGTACTTGAATTGACTAGCATGTATGGCGGTAATAAATGAAGTATAATATCACTTGATGAATACAATTAAACCGATATTATAGTAGTATTTGGATGAGTATGCAGTTCTGTGCATTTACTATATGTATTAAACGCCAAAGGTTTTCTAATGACAATGTTTACTTCTAAACACACTACACAATAAGTTAGTTCCTACTCTATATGAATAAATTCTATTGGATCACGTTAAACACCTTTTCCTCTGGAAAATTCAAGATATTAGTGTAACTATACCTATTCCCTTTGCGTGACAGACGTTAATCGGAATATTGCAAACCGATGTCCACTAAATGGTAATGTGAATTCTATTTCGAGGATAAGAGCAAATAAACTGCATTCCTAAAGACGTTTAATGGCTTTTAAGATAAGGTTATGTATTTCCCCGTCTAATGACGGCGTTAATAAACCGAATTATCCTAGACAGTACCAATTTAAGTGGTTAACAGATGAGTATTACGGTGATGTTATCCAAATACTCTTAGCTCTGTCAAGCAATAATGTAACTGACTTCTCTAAGTAGCTTTAGTATACACTAAGTTTTTCGCACCTGGCATCATATAAACCTGAAATTTAAACCCGTTAACAACAACTCTCTATCTTCCTGTATTGCTGAGAATGTCAAAATAGGGATTACTGAGTATTTTATTAGAACATTTTTAATGCACAAAGTGCATTTGATTATGCATCATCTTGAAATATGTTCATGTAACTTAGGTTTCTAGATGTTTGTGAGTATCTGTATAATTATGATTAACATTTAATTGGTAGCAGCAATTATCCGCACTAATATGACGCTGGAACTGTATAAGACATTCATTACGGAAATCACCAAACTGCATCACGAGGCAAGCGCTAGCTTGGAATCCTGAAGGGGAGCGAAAAAGAGGAAGGCCAAACAATACACTGTGACGGGAATTGGAAGCAGACATTTAAAGGTTGAACAGCAGCTGGAAACAACCTATGCCTATGCCCCTCTACGATGGGTATTTATTTATTTCAACACATAAATATCGGTACAAGAGGGCACCAAATATATATGCGCACCATATTTGTGTGTGTGGGCTGTAATACTGCCCGGTCGCCCAAACCGAAGCAGGTGGTTTTCTTAGGGGGCCACACCCCGAGCCTTTGATCTAAAAGTCTGATCCACAAGGCAGTGGAGAATCATGAGGAGATGGATCCTCATGGTAGCCGGTGACCAACGATTGGTTCATACGCCATTTGTTCCCGCAGGATACTGGAGTCCATGCGCACTATTGGTTTGGGATCCGGTTAAAGCGCCGGATAGTTGCTTTTCGTCCTCATTTTCGTAAACAACACCCCCGCCACGAGAAGGCGATGAGTAAGACTTCCTTGGCAGAGGCTGTATACGTGTGGGAGCATTTCGAGAGGGAGGACGAACCCACCCCACTCTCGGCCATACCAGGGCATTTGGGGGTAACCGGAGTATGTTGTCCCAGAGTAGGCAGCTGCACAGCATTGTTACCAGGATATACCACTGTAAACGGAGTTCCTACTTTGCATATGAATACCGTGGGCACATATCACCTACAATTATCTAAATTATGGGTTTTCTTACACTCTAAAAGTGAGAATTCGACAGTCCCAAATATAATGCAGATTACTAGAGAATTGTGCTCTACCTCTTGAAGTATACTTAATGTACTTGTCTTAATTTTCTCAAAGACGGTTAATAAACAAGTTATGAAATTTCATTGTTTTGGCAAGCATAATCTACTGGAGTAAAATGACATATGAAATTTTTTTTCATAGTTGTACGTGACAGGTGTTTGTATCTTAAGGCAAATAGATGCTTAAATGTATAATGTGGTAAACATGTGTACACACATTTATTTATTGAATTATAACTGTTAAATACGACCCAATTCGGATCAAACAAATATGTCTGTTAATCTAACTGTAAATAAATTATAAGGAAGGTGGATTAAACATGAACCATTTTGATTTATTTGTTAGTCAAATAAATCTATTTCACCAGTCCTCGATTTTGCACCTTTTCTCATGTGTTCAAAATTAATAGTTAACGGCGAGGAAATCGGTTTGATCTCTCAATTAGCTAGTTTTTCAATGGTGACCTCAATTAACCTGTTTGAATTTCCCTAAAGGTTGCATTTACCTTGATGAAAAAAAACTCCTTAAAACCTTTACTTTAAGGATCTGAAATTACTTAAGGTTTTGGCAGAATCTCGGCAATTTGGAGTAATTAGAATGGTGTTGAGACTGTGTTGACCCTGAATTACTTGAAAACGAAATTTAGGGTTCCCCGAAAAACCATCAATTTTAAAATTGCCCTATTCAAAACGTTTATTTGTCACCTAAATCATACTGTTGCGTACTCTAGGAGGTCCTGAAAATAATCAATTTTTGTTCTTGAAATACTATTCGACAGAACTGCAATAGAGTATCAGTTTGAGGTTTAAGCTTGATCTAAATAAATTTAGCAAGGGGGAACATTTATAGTCACAATTTCACTGCCACAATAACTTACTAAAATAACTGGGAGGTCATATATATAGCGTTCGTATATCTGAAGCATATGATAAGTAGAAACAGTCAATTATTTCACGAGAACCGACAGCAAAAGATACAAAACAAGTGTGAGCTAAGGGACAGGTCAACGTCCTGAATGTTGGGGCTATGAGACAATTGACAGGTTCGACGACGTATTTTCTGGAGAAGTTTGGTTACAAGGACTTCCGACGTCTGTCAGACTAATTATTTGTCCCCACACCCAGCCGTTGGATTATGAGGACCTAACCGACACAGGAAACAAAATTTTAGAGGTCATCTTGTCAGGTTCATCAGTCTTGTAGTGATCCTGTACGAGATCCAAATCAAGGTATGGTGAAACAAAAAAATAATTACTAACCTCTTAATAACGGGGTTGCACTTTGGTGATCAAGTAAATCCTACACACTTCATTTCTTTCCCTATTTTATTAGCCGCGGATTTTGATAAATAATATATGTGTTGCAGCATCCTTTTAGGCTACCTCTCACTATGTGGAACTGTTGGTATGGATTATATCCCATTAACGCATTGGGATGAATGTAAATTGTAAATTAAAAAATCGGACCTTACCATGTTCCCCTGGTTTCTTGTATCTCTCGCATTCTAATTACAGTTTTTCAAGTATTTTAACTGATATCAGCAAAAATGACTATGACCACCAATATAATGTCGGGAACTTCGAAATTTACGCCAGATATATGGAGCAACTACTTTTCTACTGAACTTGAAGAATACAAGTCCTACAGTTGTTTATTATTGTTGAATTCGATATGGTGACAGATTTTGCCATGAAACGCATCAATCACAGTCATACTGAAGAAACTAGGAAAGTGATATGCTATTCGAGGTCTTTCTAGCAATTATGTGTACATAGCATTCGCTTGAATTGTTTTATTTGTTTGATAGTAGTACAATTCACTAATTAACTACAATTTCATGTAATATACTATGTTAGGAAGTCACTTATATCACTTGGCTATTGGAATTTTGGCACCTTGAGCAAACTTTTAGGCCTTTATCGAATAGCTATATGAACAATTTATAACTTCCTTAACTGATATCCACATAAAATTACAATCACGACGTCGGCAGTTCACAGATAAAATAGCTCTCTGTAATGAAAGAAAACCTTGTTTTACGGAAAAACAACAGCATCTATACAAAATAACCCATTGTATAAAAAACACATTTATTTTACAGATCACAGGAGAGGCTATCAAATTAAAATATAAACAAATATATTAAGATGTAACAACAGAAATCTGATAACTTTGTACTTTGAGTACTGAAAAAAATGAATACCCCATCATTGCTGCTATGAAACAGATTGTTTAATAAGTGCACTATCTAAGATTGCAGGAGCGTCAGGACGTTTGACTGGATCGTAATCCAAAAGTTTGAGAACGAACTCAGTCTAAATAAATGTAAATGACGAAAATATTGTTTAAAAAACTTTGATTAAAATCATTAGGGTAAAGAAACTTTGAAAAAATGTTTCTCAGATAATAATTGGAATGTCAGACATTCAAGATTACGATCATTGTCTAAATGGATTCAAAAAACGAACTAGATATTCTACGACATAGTCAATTAGGATTTCCAAATTATTCCGTGTGGAAATATGTGCCAGAGAGAGAAAGAGGGAGAGAGTCTATTTTTATAACCGTAGAATAGATGACTAGTAATACCACTGTTTCCGTTATACGTTAACAAATTAAAAACTTAAACATATCAAAACTGATCCATAATGAATCATAGACTATCAATAGAATGATAGAATCGTACGATATCGTTTTCTATCATGTGAAGAGCTTGAACAGACAATTTTTGTAAGAAAATTTGTAAAAAAAGAAACAAGCGTGTAAAAAGTAAAAGTTAATTAACTAATCTAGGCGTCAACAGAAATAATTCTCATCAACAAATAATTAAATAATAATACAAAAATCGATAATTAAAAAATACATACTGAACTCAGTAAGTAGCTTTATAATACAGGCTAAAAATTATGCCGACTGTTCAGATTAAGCTGAATGAGTGTATTACTTTAACTCAGTGGTCACCAAAATACAGGAAAAACTGTACGTGTAATAATGATCAGTTTGACAAAGAAGCACATATAAGCTGATCATAATAGTATAACAATCTAAAGATAGCTTTTGTCATGTATTGACAATAACCATCTTCAAGTTAAGTTGATATCTTCACAAACCACTCAACCAAACAAAGATTAAGGATCCTACAACAAGTTAGTAGAATGCTATTAAGTCAGTAAGTTAAAAAACAAACAAATTATATAATGTTTCAATGCAAGTGTAGGAGATTAGTTTAAGCAAAATATTTACTTATCAAAGGTCAATGACTACATGTATTTAAAAAAATCAAATCGATCCTGCCTTGAATAACAAAGCTCTAAATACAACATTGGACTTCTCACTCTGAACTCTTTAGTTGATCAAGTATTAAGAACATACACAATGATAGAATCGAACTCCATACCATAGTGTGAGCGATACTAATTGTGAATTGGAATAATATATAAATCCAAATTAAAATATTTAAAGCAAACCAGCACAATTAATCAATATAGAGTTGATAGGACGAGTTAGAATCAGGCCTTGTAGTTGCGAATTCATTGATTTGAGAGTAAAGGGGCTACAAAAATGATATTAACCACTTAATTATATCATTCGATCATATTTACTTTTGTGTTAATAATTTGTGTATAAGCAAGTGATTGTAGAAAACAAATTCCTATGGCTAGTGATTTGTTTTTTTATCTTAATTCAGTAATTCGAGGAGTTATCCCTCGATCACAGAATATCATTTATTGATTAGTATTTATTTTTCTCTTTTTATTTTGATATTCAAGAAATTGTTTGTCAACCTTAAAAATCCTAATTTATAGCAAAAATATCTTTAATGAAACACTTTAACTTCCTGTCAAAAAACAAATATTTTTGTCTTGTTTTATGTAAAATATCATCAAAACAACATGGTTAGAAATAAACTCACTTCGAATGGATTACAGATTGTAAATTCCCTAGGAAGTTTTTGATGTTTTGCACGGGTCAATGTAAATATTCTTTCCATTGATGTATTAAATATTATCAACAATTCGATAAATATCAGTCCCAATGAAAAGATATCCACTTTATGATTATAATTATCCCCTCGTTCCTGAAAGTTTAAACGATTGAAAATTCACGGTTAGATTTACAAAAGTCGTGACAACATTCGTTACATAATAACAGATATATACTTAGTGAAATACCAAGTATTGTTAATAGTGGGGTACACTATGGAATTACACTCCAGCATATTATAAGTGGGATATATAACGCCCTAAAGTAATTAAAGGCTCGTTACTGTCATAAATAAGGATTTAATAAATAACCTACTAGCATACTTAACGAACTACTGGGAAAATAGATCCTTTATAATCCAATATAGAAGAATTTTTAAAGCAATTAGTCCCGAGCCATTATCATAATCTCTATAATCAAGAAGACGTGTTTGACCACAGTAAAGAGCCTTTAGCACAAAATAAGCAGTAGTGAAATAAATTCATTTCCTTTGGTCATTTAACTTATAAAATTTAAACAAACGTATAAAAACATTTTGAACAGTGGTTAGATAGCATTCATTTTCATCAACCAAACTTGAAAATAATGTTAGCTTCTAGGGGATATTCTAAACTGAGTGAAAAATTCTATGAGTAAACTCTAAGGCATCTTATTCTCGTTCCTCCATAAAACAGACAATCAAGAAAACATACCAACCCCTATGGTACGTGTGGCATTATGTTGTATCGATGAACTTATAAATTACAAGGAGTCCCTTGATCGACGGAATTTGTTTAAGACAGACAGTCATAAACTAAGTAGGCCAAGTGTGATACATCGTACCCAATCACAATTGATTGATCACTGGGTGGTGATCAATGTCATACGTATCTAGTCATTATTAGTGCAGATCGAATGCTATCGACCATATGAAGCTGGGTGACACGAGATCAAATCCGCCAGGGAGCACCAGTCCCCTAAATATTACAAGTACGTCTTGCTGACGAGTGCCAAGTAGCACGAAACACGGGTTCAGTGTTTCCTGTCGACTAAACAGAATTGGAATTATTATTATTATTTTAACACAGATACTGGTATAAGGAGGAACCGAATACATATGCGCCACACAAATCTCATTTGATTTGTGTGAGGGCTGTGATACTGCCCGGGTGCCCAAACAGAAACAAGTGGTGTTCTTAGAGGGCCACATCCTGAGCCTTTAACCTAAAGGTCTGATCCACAAAACAGTGGAGCATCGAGAGGAGGTGCAATCCCATGGTAGCCGATGATCAACGATTGGTTCATACGCCATTTGTTCCCTCAGGATACTGGTCCGACCGTTGTTGCTACCTTGGCGTAGTGGTCAGGCTTACCTATCGTGATGAACCAGTCGGGCTATGCTGGCTGAAACAATCGTTCATCAGGGTCCTACCATACCAGACAGGTTGGTTGAAGAACGGTAAGACTAAAGACAGCAAACTCAAGGTCAGAGGACGAAGTCGCACTGCTGACTGTACAGAAGTATGACGGCAGTAAGGTGTTTCCGCCAAACAACCAGCATCTGCAGCGATGCTGCCTTCCCACAAGGAGGGGTGGGGTGGGGTTAGAAAAGTTCGACCTTAAAAATGAACACATCACCTTGTCCCACGAATATCCGTCTCTGGCGGTAAGGTCTCAACAAGTACGGAGCTAACACAAAAATTACTCATAAAAAAGTCGCGTGTGACCGACCTCAAGCAGTTGTTCCTTGGGCACTGCGGTCACGCTACCAGGTCATTAAGACCACCTCTAATCCAATTTCCTTTTCAGGTACCTCCAGAACAATCCTTCCGCGGTGTGGGCGACCGGGAAGTGATAACCGCCCTCATAACTCTAGCAGCACTCAAGAACACTGACTGACTAACTCAGGATACTGGTGCCCATTGGGATCCCGTTAAAGCGTCGGACATTTGTTTTTCGTCCTCTCATTTTCGTAAACAACACACCCACCACGAAAAACAGAATTGGAATACAAATTAATTTTTCAGTGGACAAAGACAGTAGGGGTTATCAACATCTTCATAGAATCTTCATGTTAAAAAGCTTAAGAAAGACACCGAATTGGCTAAATGAGCTGAGAATTCGATGACACACAAAAAAATTTTCTTTTAATTTCATGAAAATTGATAAATATCCGGTTCATCAAACGTCTACTTGGCTAAAACTATGGAAACTACCAAGTGCGAACGATGGAACCGAGTTAGTTCAAAGGCATGACAGAATATCACAATTCAAATAATAATGTGTGTGTTTCAACGGAAACGAAACTAAAGACGAAAAACCTCAATGATGTTACATAATAAATTACATTGAAGCAATTTGTTATATTTCTGAAGTGCTAGATGAAAGTCAATAAATATGAATAACCGACGTGAGATTTGTGGAGAATTTTGAGTGTTAATGAGATCACGAATCGACCTAAGTTAGAGAACCACTGAAAACCACAAAACAATGGATAACTGTCTCGTTCTACTATACAGCTCATCAACAATGCGCATCCATGGATTGGTTGGATTCGAACATGTAGACTATTGTATTCTGAGTCAGTGGTCTAAAGATTAAGTTCTCACCGCGGATCGGAAGGCTCTAGGCTCGGTCCCCGGCACGGTCGTAAACGTACACTTTCCAGAAGTCTTACACAAAAACCAAATGGTTGCCCGATATTTCCTCGTTTTCAATGGTTCTCAGTCGGTTTGTAGCCTTAATAAAACAGGAATACAGTAACTGGAATTAGTAACTAGTAGTCACCATTTACAGAGACTTAATTTCAGCGAAAAAATTAAAAACCAGAGAAATGTGAGAACCGCCAACACAAATTATGTTTGTACAATAATACAATAGCTAATCAAATGATAATGATTTCTAAAACATAATTAAGCTAAAATATCTTACTTGCTCAGGACTCATGTATAGATCTGTTCCCACGTGATCAGTATGTCTACGTGTCATTACAGAACGCTTTTGTTGAGCAGTGCTAATTTCTTTCAAAGGATATAGTTGTCGATCGATAATGGCATTGTTATTATTATGCTCTGATTCACCATTCAAATCATTTACAATAGTAGTCACTGAAGAACATGAAGGCTGCTCCCCTTGTTTATTGCAATTAATACAAGAGCTGTCTGATTGATTTAATTTATCATCAACCATAGAAGTAACTAAACCAAAATCTGCAAGTTTAAGACGATTGGTTAAATCAAACAGGATATTTGAAGGTTTCAAATCACGATGCATTAAAGAATGATCATGTAAATAAGCTACAGCTTCAACAATTTGACGAAACATACAAATCAATTCAACTCGTGGTGGACGTGATTCTGGAATACTATGAGAAACAAGCCAATCACGTAAACTTATTGGAGAACATAATTGCATTTGAATGTACAAGTAGCATGTATATTTAGTTTCATTTCTAGATTTATCTTTGATGGATTGTTCTACAAGGCTTGAACCATCTAATGAAAATGTTTCGGTACTGATTTGATGATCAAAAACGATAAGACTGTCATCCAAACAAGCTTTTGAAAGCTTTCGATAGCTGAAATGCAATAAAAAATAAAACTAGAAAATATTCCTAATGTGGAAAAAGGCTTGAGTCCTATAAACATCAGTCATAATCGAATGAGATTAACAGAGCATAAGATAATTCAAAACTTCTCACAAACTCTGAATATTTTGCTTCTCCAGCTGAGTAAGATTTTGAACAGACGATATAAAGTTGAAATAAGAGGATTATATTCGTTTAACACTTCGGTAGGAAATTCGGTTATGAAGTAGGATTTTATAAGTGGAAGCGAGCTATGATATTTAAAATGGATGAATAAAATGTCGATTGGTATATGCGATGCAGTGATACAGTGTAAACGGGTGAAAACTGTTTCCAAGATTGGAGGAATATTGACGTTAGCCTACATTTGAACAAATACTAGAAGATAAAACAACTAGCCGATAAAGTAGATTCTCTTCTATTTAAATAATATGCTTAAATACAAAATTGCGACACAAAATAAACACTACGAGATGTCATAAACGATTGGAGAATACCAGTTTTATGGACAGCTCACACTCTAAAGAATTGAAACCTTGCCCATTTTATCATCTTCTACAAAATGATTCGGGATAGTTTAAAGGTGAAATTGTTAAGCAAGTGATACTTTTGACCTATTTAATGTATTATTCAGTTTTCATGAAAGTCACGTTTCTGTTCAATTTGTAAATTATAACGCCATGAATAGAATATTGTTGTTGAAGGCACTCCTCGATCACTCGCTGATTACCACTAAGGAATAAATGCTGGAATGGAGGTTTCTTATGCTACAGGATAATAAAAATCAATAGTTCATTTTAAGTTGATTAATCCATGTTTATTAACAAATAAAAATCCAGTCAGAATAATTCTAAACCTAGAGTTAATAACCCTAATTTAAATAATAAGAAATCACGCACCTGGAGTGATGAGACTCATTCAATCCTATTGAGCTTTTATCTACGCAAAGCGATACACTTGAATGGCGCGAATCGATATTTGACGAAAAGAGAGTATTTGATAGACAATTCTCATTGTTCTCACAATCTGTACAGTCGCCGCTTCTGGAAGTTAAGTCGTCAGATAAACCGAGTACTAATTCATCATGTGACTCTTGCCAACCAGCAGGAGGATATTCCTTCCAAGCCCGATGGTAGCGGACAATGCCTGGATGGTCAAGTGTAGCTAAAGCTGAGAGAAGAAGCACAAAATAAAAAAGATGTCGCATGGAATTGTGTACAAAATCTATTTTTAATACTGAAAAACTATTTCCATTATCGATCTATGAATGTACTAGAAATAGAACTTCAGAAAACCCACAGGTGAATTAACTAAACCAAAATACATGTATAAACGAAAAGAATAAATAGAATATTTCTAGCCTTAATAATGCTAGCAATAATATGAATTAAGTTCACAATAATATAAGGAAATACGGGTTACTGCTACTATTTTGGGGATAGGGATAATAAAGATTAAAACTGACTGGAAAAATACATAAGTAACTACTAAAAGCTAAGCAAAAATCATTCAGACTATAGTTTAAAGTAATAAATACAACGGAAGGAATTAGAAATTTGATAACGTTCGATAATAGATACGAGATAATACGGTCAGTATGATCAATAAGACTTGACTAAACTGATCGCGAGATACGTAACACAGACATTCAATATCCGACCAATAATTAAGAATCGAATATCGGCCCACAATAGCTTATCAACAGAAATACAAGCGCTTCACACAGAGTGAGTCTACAGTACAAATCAACAGTGGACGACATTTATATATATATAGCATAGTTGGATGGATCTTTCTTTGCTCAATCGCTGAGCACTGTTAAAGGTATGAGGGCGGTTATCACTTCCCAATTGCCCATACCGTAGAAGGGTTCTTCTAGAGGTACCTATAAAAATAATTGAGTTAGAGTTGGTCTTAGTGACATGAGAGTGACCACAGTGCCCAACGGACAACTGCTTGAGGCTGTTAAAACAATGTGTTAACTCAGTACTTGTTGAAATCTTGCTGCCTGAGACGGATATTCGTGGGACAAGGCGGGTGTGCATTTTTAAGGTCGACCTTTTCTAACCCCACCCCACCCCTCCTTGTGGGAAGGCAGCATCGCTGTCATGCTGGTTGTTTGACGGAAACACATTACTGCTGTCACACCTCTCTACAGTCAGCAGTACGACTTCGCCTTCAGACCTTGAGTTGCTGCTTTTAGTCTTACCGTTCACCAATCGACCTGCCTGGCATGGTAGAACCTACAGGAACATATGTTCCAGCCAATATAGCTCGGTTGGGTCATCACGATAGGCGAGCCCGACCACCGCGTCAAAGTAGCAGCTTCGGTCGAGACCGTTGCTGTTATTTTGATATGGTGGTCGGGCTTACCTATCGTGATGACCCGACCGAGCTATATTGGCTGGAACACATGTTCCTGTAGGTTCTACCATGCCAAGCAGGTCGATTGGTGAACGGTAAGACTAAAAGCAGCAACTCAAGGTCTGAGGGAGAAGTCGTACTGCTGACTGTAGAGGTGTGAGACGGCAGTAAGGTGTTTCCCTTTGGAGAACCAGCATCTGCAGCGATGCTGCCTTCCCACAAGGAGGGGTGGCGTTAAAAAGGTCAACCCTAAAAATGTCACACCTCACCTTACCTCAAGGATTTCCGTCTCCGACGGTTAGGCCCTTTGAAGAACGGAGCTAACACGTCAAAAACCTTCCACAAAAAGGCCGTGCGCGACCGGCCCAAAACAGTTGTCCCTTGGGCTCTGCGGTCACGCTCCCAGGTCGTCAAGACCAACACTAATCCGACTTCTATTTCAGGTTCCCCAAGAAATACCCTTCTACGGTGTGGGCAGCCGGGAAGTGACATCAGCCCTCATACCCGTAACAGTACACGAGACCAATTTGGTCACATTCAAATCCTTCCTACACCTCCTAATACCTCTCTTATCTCCTTGACTAACCCTTCTCACGTCTCTTTATCACCTCGCACCGCTAGGGCAAACGATTCGAGTACGTGGAACGCTATTCCTGGTCTCCTGAAACCACGCTCTAAACTACAGGTAGGAGCTTTTAACGTCCGAACACTGTGCCAAATAGGACAGCAGGCTTCCTTAGCTAGGACTTTAGAATCCCGCGCCATTGATGTGTACTGCGTCTCCGAAACCAACATACAGGATCCGAGTAGCGTCATTCACTTGATCTCACCATGCCAAAATAAAGAACCGACTCGATTCACACTTCGTGTATCTGGAAGCCCAGATTTTGCTTCCCATGGCCTTGCCGGCGTAGGTATAGCATTGAGTCCCAGAGCAGAACTAGCTCTCTTAGAGTGGATCCCAGTAGACAGTCGTTTGTTCGCTGTCCGACTAAACGGAACAGTGAGGATCCGAAAAGGTAGGGACACTCGTCGTTGACTCTTCGTCGTCTCTGCCTATTCTCCCACTGACTGCAGCGCAGATGATGCAAAAGATGAGTTTTACAGAAAGCTTTCCGACCTACTCCGAAAAGCTAGGCGCTCGGATGTAGTAATAGTGGCCGGTGACTTTAATGCTCAAGTAGGTAAACTAAGCGATAGGGAAAGACACCTAGGTGGATCTTATAGCATCGTGGCTCAAAGAACAGATAATGGCGACCGTCTGTTGCAGCTATGCTCAGATACCCGCCTGTTCCTTGCAAATACTAACTTTAAGCATAAGGAAAAACATCTTTTGACATGGCGACCCCCTAATTCGTCCCAACGTTGGACCAAAATAGATCACATCACCATCAGCCACCGATGGAGCGGCTCGATAGAAAACTGTCGCTCATTCTGGAGCACATGCTTAGATTCAGATCATGCTCTAGTACGAGCGCATATCTGTTTGAGTCTTACTGAACGTAGGAAAGACGCTGCAAACAAACCTCTTAGGGGCCTACTTAAAGATAGTCAAGCTAAGAGTATATTTCAGGAACAACTAGGAAAACAGTTAGGCAGCCATGTATGTAATGCCCACCCCGAGGCAGCATGGAATGATATCCGAAAAGCTGTGGAAACAGCAATGATATCTGCTAGCAAGGCAAACCAGAAGGTTAGGGAGCAACACTGGATCTCAGCAGCATCTATCGCACTGATAGATGCTCGGAAACTCATTCCACCTGACTCTGAACATAGTGAAGAGCGGAGTCAGCTTAAGCGCAAGCTGACAAGAAGTCTACGCAATGATCGCGAACAGTGGTGGGTAGCGAAAGCAAGAGAGATGGAAAAGGCAGCGGCAATAGGTAATAGCAGACAATTGTTCAGACTCGTTAAGGAAACCGGAATTAGGAACCCGACCGTTAGCAAAACAATCTCAGAGAAAGATGGACATATTATTCATTCCCAAACCAGGAGATTGGATCGATGGGCAGAACACTTCAGGGATCAGTTCAACTGGCCTTCAGCCACACTTCGGTTTCCCACGATCTCCAGTCAACCTGAATGGCAAGTTAATGTAAGTCCTTCGTCCCTTTACGAAGTTGAAAAAGCCATAGGAAATCTGAAACGAGGGAGAGCAGCAGACCCTGACAGGTTTACTCCTGAGATTTTTAAGGATGGTGGTTCAGTATTAGCAGTGAGATTAACTGAGGTCTTAGGTAGAATTTGGGAAGTGGACGTAATCCCATTTGATTGGTCTCAATCACTGACTGTGCCAGTCTATAAGAAAGGACAAAAGTCCTCTTGTGACAATCACAGGAATCAGTTTGACAAATATAGTGTCTAAAATATTAGCCTCAATAATACTTCGACGCCTAACCAAAGCTCGTGAAGAGCGGACTAGAGAAAATCAGGCCGGTTTTCGACCTGGACGTGGTTGTATAGATCAGATATCCACAATACGTCAGGTTCTAGAACACAAACACACATTCAGACGCCCCACAATGGTAGTATTTCTCGACCTTAAGGCGGCATTCGACTCTGTTGATCGTAAGGTTCTATGGCAGTGTTTGTCACTGAAGGGAGTACTAAAGAAGTACATTAACTTTGTAAAGGCTCTCTACTCGAACACAACTGGTAGAGTGAGAGCTTATGGCGAACTGTCATCAGAATTAATTACCTCAAGTGGTGTTCGTCAGGGCTGTCCACTCTCTCCATTCTTGTTCAACTTTGTCGTCGACGTACTTCTGGAGATAACACTCTCCTCGTCTAGATTTCCAGGGGTTGAACTTCTACCGGGAGGTTCACTTGTTGACTTAGAATATGCCGATGACATAGTTTTATTTGGTGAAGACGCTGACAAAATTCAGAGTCTTATGACCACTCTAAGCAACAATGCAAGCATGTTCGGGATGCGATTCTCTCCCTCGAAATGCAAAATGTTGCTTCAGGATTGGGTCACATCGACACCCGAACTAGTGATAGGGAGTGAAGTAGTTGAGTCGACCGCTTCACTTATCTTGGAAGTCTCATCAGCCCTTGTGGTTTGGTGTGTGACGAAATCTCAGCCCGGATACAGAAGGCTCGATTAGCTTTTGCCAACTTGCGTCATTTATGGCGTAGGCGAGATATCCGTCTGTCAACCAAAGGACGGGTTTACTGCGCAGCAGTACGTCCCTTCCTACTTTATGGCAGTGAAACATGGCCGGTAAGAGTAGAGGATATTCGTAGGTTACTAGTATTTGATCATAGGTGTCTTCGAAACATTGCTCGTATATCATGGGACCATCGAGTAAGTAACACAGTTGTTAGGAAACGGGTACTAGGTAAGGATGGCAAATCAACTGATGAAGTGGTGAAACTTCATCAGTTGAGATGGCTGGGATACGTGTTACGTATGCCCAACGACCGACTGCCTCGACGTGCGACATTTTGTTGTATAGAAGATTGGAAGAAAGCTAGGGGCGGCCAGACCAAAACATGGCACAAGTCCATGAAGTCACTAACAAGTGGTCTGAGTCATGTTGGTAGGTGTAGACTACCTGGTTGGGGACCGCGAGATGATAGCAACCGATGGTTAGAGACCCTGAATGACATGGCTCAAAATCGTTTGCAATGGCGCAGGTGCATTTACTCTTTGTGTTCTCTCAAATTCCAATCTGAATTCTTCATGTCATTTTTTTCCTCTTTCCAAATTTATTTCACTGAATTATACTCTTTAAATAACATCTCCAAACCCTAATCTTCCCGATCACTGCTTACACTCTTGCTACCTCTACCACTACGGGATTTGGATCGACAACTGCATCTCTGTGTTAAGGTGGTGCGGCAACTCGAACTGATGTACGTACGTACGAAGTTCTACGTTGTTACTGACTGACTGAGCAGCAACGGTCGGGAGCTCATTCGCTAATCACGCCTTATCATGACTAGTATATCGGTAATTAATCAGGCTTCAATCCACTTAAAGATTTCAAGTATTAAATGAATGGGAATCATTAGACTTCTTGATGTTAATTAAACTACCCATGTTGCATAATCATAGTTACATGAATATGAAAAGCTGAAAACAATAAAAAAGATAGTGTTCTTCCATAAAACACCCGCATATTATGAATGATACAAAAAGCAACGGTATATATATAAATATATACATCAGATTTAAAAACTGTTGGAAGCTAGTTGATCGTCAAGCCATTTCTATAAACTGGTTGAATGTTGAACAGATAATATAATGGTTATTCAATCAAATATCTACTTTCATATGAAATAACTAGCAAAATTTGTATAATAAAGGTCAGTGAATCACTATATTATTCCGATTTCTATGACATTAAACAAGATAAGTTTATAAATATGCAACAAGCTTTTATGATCTTAAATTCACATAGTGTTTGCTATCGCGGTGAAGAAAATTGTGCAATTTGAAATTATAAATATTGTTATTTCATGCATACCTTTTACTTCTCGTAAAAATATATTTTTATCATCGTCGGTATCGTTCATTTTAATACGTTTGATAGCATAACGACAACCATCAAGACGATTTTCAACTTCAAACACTTGACCGAAACCACCACGTCCAAGTCGACGTATGTACTTGAAATCTGTTGCAAATGATGAAACAAAACTAGGTGGTTGCATATTGGCAGTATTAAACAGAGAATGACATGAAGGATTTGATGTTAAATTATTCGGAGTTGAACATGATGGACATTTTGGTGAATCACACAAATCTCCCGATGAACTATGTGTTTTGACAACAACTGATTCCAAATTACATGACTCAGACTGAAACGAATAGTTTTTCAACCTAAATGAATGAAAAAACAATAACTACGTCAACAATAAATATACTTTTATTATATCCCGATGAATAGAAAATTGTATTTCTGACGTTTCGCGACTTGATGTACGTCACTTCTGCAGAACAAATAAAACTACGTAAATTTCAAGACAGAAAAATCCCACTTAAAATTAGCAGTGAGTCATTTTTAGTGCCAGTCACCGATCCAAAGTGTATTGATTTGAGCATTTATTTCGTATTCAATAAATCATGAACCCGGTGTGGCTAATATCAATTTTGATTGGTATTTTAAATAATGAATTTGCAAAGCATGGGTTCCTGTAACCGCTTTTAGGTTATATTTAAGGTGTGAAGGTTAGTGGAACTACCCGGCGGTTTAAACTTCAGTAGGTAGGTGGAGAGAGATTCAACTCTATGACTTAATGGTTGGACGCTGAGTGTTTTAGATATTAAGCCACTATTCTGCTTGGTGCCTTAGTATTTTATCCATGATTAAACCCTTCTGCTTACTGGCAACAAATAGCTACATCATATGTAGATTGTAGGAATCACCAAATGTTAAGAATGGTTGTCATAAATTGAAAGACTATTTTGAGAAAAATATATGACAGCATATTACTCAAAAATGACAACTAGTAGGAAAAATCGCAAAAAGTATCACAATTTACCACCTTCAGCCTACTGGAATGATAAGTCAGTTTAAGTAACTGTTCATAAAAATTCGTAACAATCGAAATTCCCTACAAAGTTTGATTGTTCAAAGTAAATTTGTGGAGAAAATAACGTGTATCAGCAATAAAAACAAAACAATCACTAGTAGATATGCTTTGTTTGTAGGTAAAATGATTAAACAAATAGCTTGGACAGAAGTTACAAATCCTATAAAAGAACAAATAACTATTAACTTCATTTTACTTCTAAAGAATCTAAGAGATTTGACAAAACAACAATTATTATTAATATCATTCTGAATTTTAATATTTTTATTAATAATGATGGGCTATACTTAGTCCGTAATTACTTAATCTTCCAAGTTTAAAAAATAACAAAATTGAATATATTCGCTACTGCTACTGTATTTATTACCGTTTGAAAAGAATCAACAGCTCATCCTTTAGATACCACCTTATCATGTTTGTTTTTTCAAGAATGCATATTAAAACTCCATAGAAGTATGCTAACAAATATGTAGGCATTAAAATATTAGTTATAAGTATAAGTTTTGTCAAATAACAGTATTGTTGATTCATCATCTTATACACTCGTGGTTGTGTTATCGATTATCTCTTTTTACATAATTTATTAGGATATAAAACTCAAAGTTAATTCAACATTAGACTAAAACATTTAAAACGGTTTCAATAACCACTAAAGTATTTTACTATAAAAGAAAGATGTATTAGTCTAACATCAACCCACACCCTACTATTCTAAGCAACTATCATTAGCTCATTATTTTGTAATCCAAAGGATAACATACTAAAAAGATTGTATTTCCCAATCTATATTTTTTGAAAGCAATACAAGAGTATGGTTTAGATATACAGATAATTCTGTCCTAGATATCACTATCCAAGTGTAAAGATGTATTAGAACTAGATGAATTCTAGGTATATAATGAAACAAATGTAAAACACATAAAAGAGACTATTTACCAGTCGGTGTACTTTACAACCTTAAATCTCAATATTGTACAATTAGTGCAGTAAATAAATAACAATCATCTGGCAAATTGCTAAAAGATGAATGAAATAGAAAAGATTTATTTAAGCATATTGTCTTTTTTGAAAAAAAAACCTACTGTGTATCATAGTTAATTTTCACATTCATTATCCAATGTGCCGTAAAATAAATTACTCCAGTCAAAACTAACAATTGCATGAAATGTGTAGACAGATTAAATCCTAACGACCTACTACTTTCAATACCAGACGGTGAATGATTTACAGCAATCTCACTGGCACGTAATAGGAGCATAAGTAAATCGTTTGCACTGCCGAGAAATTGTCCTGGTATACCACTAGTGTCACTCATTTCAATATCAGTCGAAGTTACAGTCTTTTCAGGTATCGTTTCCGGTTGAAAATCATGTACAGGCTTGAATCGTCCCACATTACTTGGAAATCCTAAAGCGGTAGCTTTTTCAATTGTTTCTTCAACACTATCATATAAAATAAATGGTTGTGTATATTTTTCTAATTTGGGCGATTTTGAATAGGATGCTTGATAGTAGCCAGTTAAATCAGAACGACGATTATTCAGTGATTCAGCCGAATGTATAGATAAACTTTTAGATAGATTTATCATTTCCGGATTGGGAAGATCAACACCGTCTTCAGTCTGAATTAAAGGGATAGAACATGATAACATAATTATTTAGAATAATATTAATTGAAAACTAATCTACGCGTACAGGAAAGCATAAAAATGTCAACGAATTCTTTTACAACGTAAACACCTGAGGAAACGCACAACGGTTGACTTTAGCACTGATTAAATTTGAGTCTACCGCTTACTAGTGAACCAATTTAAGACATCAAAGTAAATGTCGAAACTCAAATGAAATTGTGAAAAATGGTTTTAGAATCCGTTAAATATTATATCAATTGGTGTCAGATCTACAAAACTCCAAGTCCGAATTCATATGATTGCTAAGTTCGTAATAAGCACAAACTCTACGGCACACTTAACCACAATGTATTATTTCAATAACCATGATAAAGAGAGGCTGTACTCTTGAATTACATTAAGTGGTTCATATAAACCTTACACAAAACATTTTATTGTAAACAAAATGTAGAATATACAAGTGTTATTACATCGATTACTTTTGTACTTTATAAAACGGAGGGCCAAAACCATAGCTACTATAACAAAGAAAGTTTGTCTGAAGCAAAGTTTCAGTGTTTGACAAACTGACTGATTATATCACTTCTAAAATTGAACCCTGTGGTTAACTTCACAACTTCTATTCAACACATGATTGCACTGCATGAACTTACTTGAACATATAGCTGACCATTTAAGCTACCAAGATAAATAAGACGATCGCGTGATGGACATTTAGGTTTTTGTTTACGTGATGAGGAAAGAGTATATTTCCCATTGAACAGATCCAAACCCTTTCCTTTTAATGATCCAAAATTTGAAATGGCAGTTGTTTTTTCCAGTTCATTCACCTTTTCAATTAATAGTAAGGCAACTCTGTCATCTAAAATGATCATTAACATTTCACCATTATTGGAAGTTAAATTACAATGTCTACATAAAAAATACATGTACAACATTAATCGAACACAATGTCTGGGAAAAACGAATGGGAAATTGTTATGTCCCGACAAGAATAATGAATGGTAACTTTTGGGATCTACTGATGGACTAATACTAAATGTATATTTCTATTGTATAATTATTAACTAAACTATGCATATTCATATTCCTCTTATTACAAGTTTTATTTTGACCCATAAACTATTATTATATGTTTTACCATTCTTGAGTTATACTTACTTTACTTACGCCTGTTATTCCTCATGAAGGAGCATAGGCCGCTCACCAGCATTCTTCATCCAACGCTGTCCTGGGCAATCCTTTCCAGTTCCTATTCATCCTTTTCATATCTGCTTCCCAGTACTGCCAAGTTGTATCTCCTCATTTCCGTTTCTATTTGACTGGTCTTTCCGGTCTCCCACAATGTACGAGTATTCCATGTACCTAAATAAATGGTTGCTCTGGTTGTTAGAAGGGGCACCGGCCTCGTGACTCCCGAAGGAACTCGGCTTTCATCATGAGGCGTCATAGTTCTTCTAAATGAAGACCTTCTAACTCCCAGGGCAGAGTTTAAATGGCTTGAATTATTTTTTCTGGTTAGCGTTTTTTTAGCAAGTTAGTTTTCTACGGGATGGAGTCGCTAACCCCATGCTCCTCCTTTACCCGGGCTTGGGACCGGCAGTAACTCTAGGAGAGCTACAGACGGAGTTTTTCTTGAATTATCCCCAGTATATTAATAACTACCTCTCTCATTCACAGCCACATCTGGCTAATTCTTGTACAAATGTTATTTCATATTTTATTGGTACGTTGAGGTCTGTTTGATTGGTATATAAACTCAGTATGTTTGAAATATAATGATTCATATTGCAGAGGCTGAGACTGGTGTTCTGGACTTAACGGGCTGGGCTATGCGGAAAGCAAGGCCAATCAGAACTCTAGGCTGCTCATACGGGTTTACGCGTCATTGATCCGATCGATAAGTCACTGCACATTAATCGGCTGTCACACGTTATAACAGAAATAAATCATGATATGCACAAACGATAGATACTAAGTGAATTCAGACATTATGAATTATTCCATAGTTCTACCTACAGCAAAATATTTGAACTCGGAATCGAAGACAGTGTTGACAACTGAATTTTTGCTTCACGTTAATTGTCTACATGAAATTAGCTCCGTTTGTATCTTGGGGTGAAATAATTAATGAACCATAATGTATGATAAAAAAAAGATCATGTATAGTTATTGTGGAAGTAATTATATATGTTGAGAAATGAGTCTACTAAGATTAAAAAGTTTTAAATACAACTCACTTTGTATACTCGATTAAAAAAGTAAACTGTAGTCCTATTTCCTAACAAGATTTCTTAATTAGCATAGAGATTTTAAACACTAGTTTATTCAATCGACAGTTAATGGTTACGATGTTTCTGAAGAACGTCAAATGTGGAGACAGTTTATGTAACGGATTGACTTTAATCAGATGACTACTAAACACTAACGAGTGTTGAATAGATATTTTTTCCCTTCAGGACCCACAGCGGCATGCACTTATGAATCAAAAGGGATTAGACTTAAAACGTTCGGATATTGCAGCGAACGAGCAATTTTAGGTCAATGAGTTAGGGTCCGATTCTCCACACTAGTAGCCCCAAGTCAATCAAGAATGATCTACGACCATAAACCATAACCAACTATAATATCAGTTTCACATTCCCTACTTGTCTTAGCTCTATTGATCGCAATTTCCCATCAGATCGTTGAGAATTCTTGTTCAGTCGAAACCAACAAAATCAGACGCTCTTTGCGAACATCTTACAACAATAATATTCATGATCTCACTAGTGACTAATGGGAATCTCTACTGACACTACAGGGAGGCTAGATTTATTCCATCCCTATCGTCTCTGAAGAACAGCTTGCGCTTGGAAATGATAATGGACTAGCATTAGTGACATTTAGACAGTATTTGAGTATGGTAGAAACTGGTATTAATGATTATGTAGTGCGGAACAGGGAACAGTTAATTGTGAAGTTAACATCTACTGACATTATAACTCATAGAGTAAGGTTACACCAGTCAACTACAACGTAAAACCTGGTAAATACGTGCATCAGTCCAAATTACAATCCTCCACTAGCACAGAGAGATGAAATTATGAGTTAAAGTTCCAGAACAGTAGAGCTGGTAACAGTACGAGTGGTGATTGAAAAGATTAGGCATCGAAGATACGATTCAACAATATATATAACGAGGTGTTGTGACAAATCCAAAAGCTTAGAATTTGGGGGAACACAAATAATGGCTGTACCTGTGCAATTCCAAACGATTGTGATTCACGTCATTCAAGGTCTCTAATGATTGGTCATGATAATCACGAGGACCCTAGCCAGGTAGTTTACACCAATTGTCAATAAATTCATGAACTGATGCCATGCTTTGGTTTATCCGCCCTTAACTTTCTTCCAGCTTACTCCTACACCAAACATCACCCGTCGAGGCAGGTGGTGGTTGGACATACATAACATATATCTCAATCACCTCAGTTGATGGAGATTTACTATCATGTGACTTGCCGTCCTTACCAAGTACCTTATCCCTAATCCAGGCATTGTTTATTCTCTTCAGAATTTATTTGTCATAACCTTAAAAATAGAAATACCCAGATATTCTTTTCAACATAAAATCTATAGCATAGTATGTATATTATTTGAAACGTTGAACATTAATCAATCGTTTAAGTCAGTGATATTGCATTGTGTATAATAAAACGATGTGACTGTATTATACCAGATAATATAGTGAATTTATAACTATATATATATATATATATATATATATATATATATATATATATATATATATATATATATATATATCAAGGTCAGTAAGATAGCAGTTAATTAAAAACCATCTCGCCATCCAGTGATAATCAACTCACTAAACTAAACATCTTTGCTTTTTACATAAGCAATAAAATATGCTTTGATAAAGAAGGAATCGCTAATGGTCATTTATATGAATGGTTTGTTTCTAAGCATAACTTATGTCGATTATTACTTCATAGAATTATTATTGCATTGTCTGACACATTTTTCAACCTCCCATTACACCAAGTTTCTATGTTTGATCTTGCATTTATCTAAAATAACCGGGAATAGCCTTAAAATTTCCGTGTTTTTTATTTATTATTTATTTGAACACATGAATATTGGTACAAGTGGGCACCAAATATATATGCGCCACACAAAACAATGAGAATTCGAAGGGAAAGAAAAGAACAATAACGAACAGACTAGTGTCAGGCAGTGTAATAATAATAATAATAATAATAATAATAATAATGGGGGAACAGAAACGTACAATCAGAAGAAATCTTTCAGTTAAGGAAGAAACAACCACTTTTATGAAGAAAGTAAAAGGTTACAGCAGGATCGCCACTGACTTCTATTCTGAGCCATATCTGATAACGTCTCTAGCTACTGTGTTGCACCATCTCTAGGACCCCAGCTAGAGAGTCGTGAAGGATCAACACAAGCCAGTCCTTTGAAGCTTTCTTTCATACCACGACACCATGTCATACACTGACCACCTCTCCGCTTTTTCTAACCAGTCCCAGCGTCGGCAAATAATGCACGACGTGGAATTCTCTGGGACGACATTCGTAGAACATGTCCAAGCCACCGAAGTCGGTGTTTCAAGATAGTGACACCAATTGAATTATCGTCTCTGTGCCCGAACACACGTCATTTATTCACCCTCTTTTTTATTCCCACTTTATGTATCCTTGTTTTTCGATTTAAACAGCAGCTCGCCTATGGTTGAAACTCGGTTCTATCTAAATTTTCGTGATCTTATTGACAAATAAAGCTAGATATATTATTCCAATCACTTGGATAATATTTTACTTAATTCCGTTTGGGTACCTGAATAGTATTAGTAGCCTTTGCACAAACAAATGACTCAACCAGAGTGCATAACCCGGTACTTAGTAAATTATTTACAAGTTGTAACACTAATCGTCAAATGAGCTTCTAAGTTAGGTATGGGAATGAATGGTCGAGGAACATCAACCCTTTAACATCCGAAGGAAAACAGTGAAGTCAAAAGTGAGTGTCATTGAATTACAATTGATTTTCTCACAAAGTAAACAATAAAAGAACCAACTTCCTGATTTTAATACGATTTTTAGCAAAAGTTGGCATCGATGGTTTATCGTATAAAATAACTAACTCGTAGATATTAGTTTGCAGATAAAAATCACACTACAAATAGTTGGCTTAGAGCAACATATGAAAATACGTCATGTAAGTTACACCTGTAGTATATATAACACTTGACGTACACTGAATAGGAAAACTTACACATAAACAATGACAATGGTCTTAAATTTTGTAGGTCCCTACGATAAATCCAAGCTTTTGAAATCCTTGATTTAAAGTTGTAGGACCATATTTCTTCAGACTGTAAACCTTTCGTTCTTGCAGTTATTGTATGTTTGTCTAGTCCAATATCCCAATCCGGTTCTTCCATATCAATAAATGACTCATCCACAAACTTTTTGTGAGCATGCTAAAGATAAAAAGGCCAATTATTACGAGACAGTCATCATATAGTGAGATCTATCCAATCCTGTTTTAAATTACCGATTATTGTTGTTAGACAACAGCTATGGGGTAATAATGAAATCATATATTTATACATCAAATGTTATTCCAAGTATGATAATAGGTTAATCATCCTTGTGACATTTTAATATGAGTGAGAACAAAAAAGAGAAAGATTTATAACATGATATTCTAGTAGCACTCTCACCATTCAGCTGAATTCAGATTTTATACTTGGCCAGACGCCGATTTATTACTAGAGTTCAGTATCTAAGTTTATTAACCAGAATATAGTGTTATATTGTAATAAATCCAGTTATATGATATGGCATTATCCAAATACAATTTAATAGGTTTTAGGTTAATAAAAGGTTCAACATCGCCGATTATTTGTTTACGCTGGGAGTGGTTGTTAAGAGCAGAGAGGGTTAGAGTATAACATGGCACCAGGGACGAAAAAACGATGTATACGACTGGCATCTGTCGGTCTATCACGAACCCCTGGTTCAGGTCATGGAGATAGTAAGAGTCAGTAGCTAGACTTTGTTAGATATGGGTCTCAGTCAGTCAGCTACAACGTAGGACCAGGCACATATATGCATCAGTCCAAGTTGCCATACCGTATTAGCACAGCAAGATAAACACCAAATTCAGAGAAGTAGTTAATTCAATGGTGGTAATATATAAAAGAAAGATTGCATATAAGGATATAGTACAGGAAGAGTTAGTTCATAGAAAGAAAGATATGAAGTGGTTTTAAACTCTTAGTTTAAGGGAAGACAGAGAGTGTATACACCTATGCCAGTGTGATCGATTCAGAGCCATGTCACCAAGAGTCTCCAACTATTGGTTACAATAGTCATGCGGACTCCAACCAAGCAGTCTGCATTTATCAACGTGGCTAAGGCTAGAAGTTAGTGTCTTCAAGTACTGATGCCACGTTTTTGTTTGGCCGCCCCTAACTTTCTTCCAACTATCCCCAACACTATTCAGCATTGCGCGTCGTGGTAATCGGTGTTCGGGCATACGTAACACGTGGCCCAACCATCTCAGTCGATGAAGATTCACAACCTCATCAAATGATTTGCCATCATTCCCTAATACCCTGCGTCTAATCTCACCACTACTTACCCGTTGATACCAGTAGACGCGAGCAATATTTCTAAGACATCTGTGGTCAAATATTAGTAGCTTACGAGTATCTTCTACTCTTAATGACCATGTTTCGCTGCCGTAAATTAAAACAGAACGAACTGCCGCGCAGTATACTCGTACTTTTATTGATAGACGGATATCTCGCCTTCGCCATAGGTGACGTAAGTTGGCAAAAGCCAAGAGAGCTTTTCGAATCCGTGTGGAGATTTCGTCAGACACCAACCCATTAGGGCTGATCAGACTTCCAAGATAAGTGAAGTTGTCAACGCGTGTTGACGAAGACCAGTCCTGAAGCAACAACTTGCATTTAGAGGGAGAGAAGCGCATTCCAAACATTCTGGCATTGTTGCTTAGTGCTAACAAAAGACTCTGCATTTTATCAGAGTCTTCACCAAACAGGACTATATCATCTGCGTATTCTAAGTCGATAAGTGGACCTCCTGGGAGGAGATTGATTCCCGAGAATTCAGTTGACGAGAACGTTATTTCCATCAGCAGGTCTATGATGAAGTTAAACAAAAATGGGGAAAGTGGACAGCCTTGACAGACACCACTTGAGGTTGCAAAAGCAGATGACAGTTCTCCATAAGCTCTGACTCGACTGGTAGTGTTCGAGTAAAGAGCCTTCACAAGGTTTATGCACTTCTGAGGTACGCCTTTTAATGACAGACAGTGCCACAGAATCTCGCGGTCTACGGAGTTAAATGATACTTTTAAGTCAAGAAATACCACCAAGTATGCCTGTGTTCGAGAACCTGATGAATGGTGAATATGTGGTCGATGCAGCCACCACCAGATCTGAAGCCAGCTTGGTTTTCTCGTGTTTGCAGTTCACGAGTCTTAGTTAGGCGACTGATAATTATCGAGGCTAGTATTTTAGATATTATATTAGTTAAACTAATCCGTCTGTGGTTGTCACAGGATGATTTTGACCCTTTCTTATATATTGAGACGATAAGTGATTGTGACCAGTCAGATGGAATAACGTCTAACTCCCAGATCTTAGCTAAAATATTAGTCAACCTAATAGCTGAAATTGGATCACCATCCTTAAAGACTTCTGGAACCAGTCCATCTGCCCTTCCTCGTTTCAGATTATATATAGCCTTTTGAACTTCAGCTAGAGTTGAAGGACCTACTTCAATGTCCCATTCAAGCTGTTTGGGAATGGTGGAAAGTTGTAGAGCAGCTGGAGGTCAGCTGAACTGCACCGCAAAGTGTTCTGCCCATCTTTCTAAACGTCTGGACTGAGAGCAGATAAGTGTCGTCTTTTCCAGAGATCCCGACCGAAGTTGCTACCTTGACGCGGTGGTCGGACTTGCCTATCATGATGGTCCAACCGAGCTATATTGGCTGGAACACATGTTCCTGTAGGTTCTACCATGCCAGGCAGGTCGATTACAGAATGGTAAGACTAAAAGCAGCAACTCAAGGTCTGAGGGAGAAGTCGTACTGCTGACTGTAGAGGTGTGAGACGGCAGTAGGGTGTTTCCCTCGGACAACCAGCATCTGCAGCGATGCTGCCTTCCCACAAGGAGGGGTGGCGTTAAAAAAGGTCGACCCTAAAAATGTCGCAACTCACCTTACCTCACGGATTTCCGTCTTCGGCGGTAAGGCCCTTTGAAGAACGGAGCTAACACATTAAAAACCTTCCACGAAAAGGACGTGCGCGACCGGCCTCAAGCAGTTGTCCCTTGAGCTCTGCGGTCACGCTCCCAGGTCGTCAAGACCAACACTAATCCGACTTCTATTTCAGGTTCCCCAAGAAATACCCTTCCACGGTGTGGGCAGCCGGGAAGTGATATCAGCCCTCATACTCGTAACAGCGCACGAGACTAAGTTGGTCACATTCAAATCCTTCCTACACCTCCTAATACCTCTCTTATCTCCTTGACTAACCCTTCTCACGTCTCTTTATCACCTCGCACCGCTAGGGCAAACGATTCGAGTACGTGGAACGCTATTCCTGGTCTCCTGAAACCACGCTCTAAACTACAGGTAGGAGCTTTTAACGTCCGAACACTGTGCCAAATAGGACAGCAGGCTTCCTTAGCTAGGACTTTAGAATCCCGCGCCATTGATGTGTACTGCGTCTCCGAAACCAACATACAGGATCCGAGTAGCGTCATTCACTTGATCTCACCATGCCAAAATAAAGAACCGACTCGATTCACACTTCGTGTATCTGGAAGCCCAGATTCTGCTTCCCATGGCCTTGCCGGCGTAGGTATAGCATTGAGTCCCAGAGCAGAACTAGCTCTCTTAGAGTGGATCCCAGTAGACAGTCGTTTGTTCGCTGTCCGACTGAACGGAACAGTAATGATCCGAAAAGATAGGGACACTCGTCGTTGACTCTTCGTCGTCTCTGCCTATTCTCCCACTGACTGCAGCGCAGATGATGTAAAAGACAAGTTTTACAGAAAGCTTTCCGACCTACTCCGAAAAGCTAGCCGCTCAGATGTAGTAATAGTGGCCGGTGACTTTAATGCTCAAGTAAGTAAACTAAGCGATAGGGAAAGACACCTAGGTGGATCTTATAGCATCGTGGCTCAAAGAACAGATAATGGCGACCGTCTGTTGCAGCTATGCTCAGATACCCGCCTGTTCCTTGCAAATACTAACCTTAAGCATAAGGAAAAACATCTTTTAACATGGCGACCCCCTAATTCGTCCCAACGTTGGACCAAAATAGATCACATCGCCATCAGCCACCGATGGAGCGGCTCGATAGAAAACTGTCGCTCATTCTGGAGCTCATGCTTAGATTCAGATCATGCTCTAGTACGAGCGCGTATCTGTCTGCGTCTTACTGGACGTAGGAAAGACGCTGCAAGTAAACCTCTTAGGGCCCTACTTAATGATAGTCAAGCTAAGAGTATATTTCAGGAACAACTAGGAAAACAGTTAGGCAGCCATGTATGTAATGCCCACCCCGAGGCAGCATGGAATGATATCCGTAAAGCTGTGGAAACAGCAATGATATCTGCTAGTACGGTAACCCGTAAAGTTAGGGAACGACACTGTATCTCAGCAGCATCTATCGCACTGATAGATGCTCGGAAACTCATTCCACCTGGCTCTGAACATAGTGGAGAGCGGAGTCAGCTTAAGCGCAAGCTGACAAGAAGTCTACGCAATGATCGCGAACAGTGGTGGGTAGCGAAAGCAAGAGAGATCGAAAAGGCAGCGGCAGTAGGTAATAGCAGACAATTGTTCAGACTTGTTAAGGAAACCGGTATTAGAAAACCGACTGTTGGCGAAACACTGTCAGAGAAAGATGGACATATTATATACTCTCAATCCAGGAGATTGGATCGATGGGCAGAACACTTCAGGGATCAGTTCAACTGGCTTTCAGCCACACTTCGGTTTCCCACGATCTCCAGTCAACCTGAATGGCAAGTTAATGTAGGTCCTCCGTCTCTTTACGAAGTTGAAAAAGCCATAGGAAATCTGAAGCGAGGGAGAGCAGCATACCCTGACAGGTTTACTCCTGAGATTTTTAAGGATGGTGGTTCAGTATTAGCAGTGAGATTAACTGAGGTCTTAGGTAGAATTTAGGAAGTGGACTTAATTCCATCTGATTGGTCTCAATCACTAATTGTGCCAGTCTATAAGAAAGGACAAAAGTCCTCTTGTGACAATCACAGAGGAATCAGTTTGACAAATATAGTGTCTAAAATATTAGCTTCAATAATACTTCGACGCCTAACCAAAGCTCGTGAAGAGCGGACTAGAGAAAATCAGGCTGGTTTTCGACCTGGACGGGGTTGTATGGGCCACAAATTCACACTACGTTAGGTTCTAGAACACAGACATACGTTCAGACGCCCCAAAATCGTAGCATTTCTCGACCTTAAGGCGGCATTCGACTCTGTTGATCGTAAGGTTCTATGGCAGTGTTTGTCACTTAAGGGAGTACTAAAGAAGTACATTAACCTTGTAAAGGCTCTCTACTCGAACACAACTGGTAGAGTGAGAGCTTATGGCGAACTGTCATCAGAATTGATTACCTTAAGTGGTGTTCGTCAGGGCTGTCCACTCTCTTCATTCTTGTTCAACTTTGTCATTGACGTACTTTTAGAGATAACACTTTCCTCATCTAAATTTACAGGGGTTGAACTTCTACCGGGAGGTTCACTTGTTGACTTAGAATATGCTGATGATATAGTTCTATTTAGTGAAGACGCTGACAAAATGCAGTCTTCTGACCACTCTAAGCAACAATGCAAGCATGTTCGGCATGTGATACTCTCCCTCGAAATGCAAAATGTTGCTTCAGGATTGGGTTGCATTGACACCCGAACTAATGATAGGGAGTGAAGTAATTGAGTGTGTCGATCGCTTCACTTATCTTGGAGGTCTCATCAGCCCTTGTGGTTTGGTGTTTGACGAATCCATCAGTGCAATAGACCTTGAAGAAACCCATTGGTTCTTTGTAACCCTGTGGTTTAAATCACTAGTATATATCACTCCTATTTCCACAGCTGTTTGGATATCATTCCAAGCAACATCTGGGTCAGCATCGTTTTCAGAACTACCTAAGTTTGACCTCAGTTGTTCTTGAAACCTACCTTTGGTTTTCTCGTTACTCAATAAAGTTCCAATGGGTCTTCTTAGTATGGATTTTTTGCGCCCAGTGAGGCGCAAGCAAATGCGTGCCCGTATTAGGGCATGGTCGGAGTCCAATCAGGTACTTTAGAATGAGCGACAATCTTCTATCGACCCTCTCCAACGATGACTGATGGTAATATAGTCTATTTGAGTCCATCGTTGGTTTGGTGTAAGGGGTCGCCGTGTTAGACGATGTCTCTCCTTATGCTCAAAATTTGTTTGCTAAAAATAAACGATTGTCTGAGCACAGATGCAGTAGACGATCACCATTATCTGTTCGTTGTGCCAGAATACTAAAATTTCCACCTAAATGCCTTTCTGTTTGGTTTAAACTACCTATCTGGGCATTAAAGTAACCTGCTACGAGCCCTATTTTTCCGAGTTCTTACGCAGGCATTTAGCCGAGCAGTACATAGACGACTGTTAACGGGGATCCACTCTAACAGTGTTTGTTCGGCCTTCATATTTAGTGCTATGCCTACACCTGCCAGTTCACGAGAACTGGCCGTCGGGTCACCAGATACACGGAGGGTATATCTCGTTGGCTCTCCGTTTTGCCGAGGTGAGGTCAAGTGAACGACCACACTGGGGTCCTGTATGCGTGTTTCGAGACACAGCATACATCAATGGAACGAGATTCTAGGGTCCTAGCCAAGGAAGCCCGTTGACCGATTTGACATACGTTGAAGGCTTCAATGTGTAGTTTGGAACAAGGTTTCAGTAGACCTGGGACAGTGTTCTGCGCACTAGAATTGTTGGCTATAGTGACACTTGAGGAGGAAGCCGAGAGAGGAAGTTTAGAGTTGAAAGTCGAGACAGGAGGAATAATAGGAACTGAAGGAGGAGGTTGATTATGAATATATTGATCTTGAGTGCTGTTAGAGGTGTGAGGGCGGTTATCACTTCCCGGTCGCCCACACCGCGGAAGGGTTGTTCTGGAGGTACCTGAAAAGGAAATTGGATTAGAGGTGGTCTTAGTGACCTGGGAGCGTGACCGCAGTGCCCAAGGGACAATTGCTTGAGGTCAGTCACACGCAACTTTTTTATGAGTAATTTTTGTTTTAGCTCCGTACTTGTTGAGACCTTACCACCAGAGACGGATATTCGTGGGACAAGGCGGAGTGTGCATTTTTAGGGTCGACCTTTTCTAACCCCACCCCTTCTTGTGGGAAGGATGCATCGCTGTCATGCTGGTTGTCTGAAGGAAACACCTTACTGCTGTCATGCCTCTGTACAGTTAGCAGTACGGCTTCGCCTTCGGACCTTGGGTTTGTTGCTTTTAGTCTTGCTGTTCTTTAACCGACCTGTCGGACATGGTAGGGCCTTGAGGAACGATTGTTTCAGCCAGCATAGCCCGACTGGTTCATCACGATAGGTAAGCCCGACCACCACGTCAAGGTAGCAACAACGATCGAGAGACATGGGTCTAAATAGAAACCAATGGCGGTCGTGTTGTAATTTTCTTTTACATTATTCATAGGAGTGAGCGGAAGTCTTTCAAGTGAAAGAAGTCTTCTTGGTTGTACTTTTTGTTTCTCCTATCATAAACTATGCTCGCTCGCTTATTTAATTTATTTATTTATCTCGATTTCATCCACCTTCCGTCTACCTTTTCACAGTTTTGTCTTCGTATTTGTACGGTGCATGTTTATTCTGATGGACATTTATACTAGTACTTGCTTGTTTCAAATAAAAATAGATTGGTCCAACTGATTCAGTCAGAATTACACTGGTTTCGAAACAACGGTTATTATAATCACGAAGAACGTTGGCATTCTATTAAAGAATTTGCTTGCTACAATAATACCAGTTTTAGATGCACATTAAATACTCGTATAACTATCATTATCACGAAAATCCGGTTTCATAGAAAAGTCGCGTAAAACAGTCCCATACGTATACTAAAATATTCCATAATGTCAGTGTTTGACAGCGTATATAAAACAACTTACTGGAGTACCCAAAGGTAAGTTACAAATAGGTGAAGTCTTCTGCACAGCAGTAGTTGGGGTAGGAATTCCACCAGTTAACAGGCAAAGCTCGTATTGATGAACGCTCAAATTCCACTTTTCAACCCCCGATGGAGCACTTACAGCGCGGACTACGTTATTTACTCTGTATACTATAATGGTCGGATCGTTTGTATTTGGAGGTTCGTCAACCAACTTTTTATCAACATCAGTACTAGTACACCCATCACGAGTACAATTATATCTGATCTGTAAAACAAGCAAAGATGGAACATTTACTGGAATTAATTGGACGAAAAATGAAAACGAATTAAGAATACGAGCCTTAGACTAAAAAAGTCATAAAGGGAAGAGAAAATGAATGAGAAAAAATTATCTCTGAATATTTAACAAAAAAACCGGGACTCTCTGCTTTTTGTTTACTAACACACTATGGATAACCAAAAGAAAAAAAACTATAAAAATCGAGACTATGCCTAAAATAAGCTGATAAAGCTCGACTTGATACGTAATCTTTTCATGGCAGATGTATTGCTTTTGTCTTAATACTACTAACCTTAGTTTCGCAAATATTATTGATAAGTCTCAGTTCAAAAATCGAAGAGAATATAACTAAACGATTTAGAATTGACAGTGGCCCATATTTAAAATACAGGCGCTTGTAAATCAGGACACTAAAAACCATAGTAAATTTTAATTTACCTCCTTGAAGAGAGCATTAAGCGTTTGATTTGTTTCAAATTTGTGAGCCAGATTATTCATATTTAGAACTGTCAGAATAGAATAACTCCATTAATAGTAGTAAGTTTAGGTGGTAATCCACTTCGAAAATACTTGACACTTAAGTGTGAACATAAATTAAAAATTTGGCCCTATGTCTTATATAAAAAGCTATAAGTCTTTCCAACTTTCCCCCAGTCACAGAAATTGGAGGAACCAGAAATGTTCTATTTACTGAAGATTTTAATTTTTAATCATTTTTATACTAAAAATATGGTTTCTAAAAATGAGAGCTGAGGAATGTCCCACAGAGACAGAAATAATAGTAATGTATCAATCATCCATACGATAAAATACGCATGAAAATTATCGAGGAATACACCACAAATAAAAAGAGATAGGTACTATTAATCTCAAAAATACAAAACAATGGATAACTGTAGCAGGATTAATACAACCTTGCATTGTGATTCATGTCTGATAGTTTTAAGCCACTACGTTACATGATTTCAGAACCCCATTCTAGGAGTCATTACATTTCGATAAATAAAAACTAAATTTTAACCAGATCTGCTGGATCTACTTACACCTTATGAATTAGTTTTCTATGTTTCAGACTTTAAGTTAGATAGACGGAATGATAATGCCAAATATCTTACCTAAATGTAGTTGAAAACCGGTCAAACTTTAAACTTTTGGCCTAAAAATGTAAACGTTAAAGCAACAGAAGACAGGAAATGCTTTATCACTGTAGCCGATAATCAGCCTTATAAATTATCCGTTTCCTTAGGATTATGGCCAAAGAAAGGAGATCTGAGCAAATGTGAGAACTACAGAGGCATCATACGACTATCGGTACCCATAAAAGTTTTCAACAAAGTATTGCTGAACCAGATGAAAGATTCAGTAGACGCCCAACTTCGAGATCAACAGGCCGGATCCCGTAAGGATCCGTTGTGCACAAACCAAACCGTGACACTACAAATCATCGTTGAACAATCAACTGAACACAACTTGTCACTATACATCAACTTCCTTGATTATGCGAAAGCATTTGACAGTGTGGATACAAGGACCTTATGGAACCCTCTTTGACACTATGCACTACCTGGGATCGTCAACATCATCCGCAATTCATACAACGGACTACACTGCAAAGTCGTGCATGGGGGAAAGTTGACAGACGCTTTCCAAGTGAGGACCGGAGCAAGACGAGGCTGCATACTCTCCCCCTTTCCTTTTCTTCTGGTGGTTGACTGAATTATGAAAACCTTCATATCTGACGGGAAGCATGGAATACAATGGACAGCTTGAATGCAATTAGACGATTCGGACACCGTAGATGACCTGGCCCTTCTTTCTCATACACACGAACGAGTACAGATCAAGACAACCACGGTAGCAGAAGCCTTTGCATCAGTAGGTATCAATATACACAAAGGGAAAAGCAAGATCCTCAAATGCAACACAGAGAATACCAATCCAATCACACTTGATGAAGAAACTCTGGAAGAGGTGGAATCTTTCACGTGCCTGGGAAACATCATTGGTGAACAAGGAGGGGTTGATACAGACGTAAGGGCAAGGATTGGCAAAGCAAGGGCAGCACTCATACACCTGAAGAACATGTGACTCAGAACAACTGCCATCCAATATCAAATTCACAATCTTCAGTACGAATGTCAAGACAGTTCTACTGTACGGATTTGAAACTTCGAGAACTACCACAATCACCATCAAAACAGTACAAGTATTTATAAACAATTGTCTACGCAGGATACTCAGTGTGCGTTGGCCGGATGCCATCAGCAACAGCCTACTGTGGGACAACAAACCAGCTTCCAGATCAAGAGATTCGGTAAAGAGGTTAGAAGTGGATAGGTCATACATTTCGGAAATCGTCAAACTGCATCACGAGGCAAGAGCTAACTTGGAATCCTGAAGGCAAACGGAAAACAAGAAGCCCAAAGAACACAGTGTGTCGGGAATTGGAAGCAGACGTGAGGAGGATGAACAGTAGCTGGAAACAACTGGAAAGAATCGTCCAGGATAGAGTTTGATAGAGTACTGGTGGACAATCTATGCTCCTCCATAATGAGTACAGGCCTAAGTAAGTTAGAATTATGGGACGTACACACTGGAGTAGCTCGGAATCAGTGTTTTCCAATTTTTATTAGTGGAGTGTTTTATATGAGTAATCAAGACCCCAGATGTACTTTCACTCTCAATTTCATACGGATACTTTGCTATGTGTAAGCAGAAAGGCTTTTCTGGGAGAGACGATAAGCGAGCAACTATATGAAAGGGATTTGAGATCAAAGTTTTCTAAAGTGCACCCTTAAAGTCTGAGGGCAACAGTTCTACTATCATCTGAACCGAGTCTCAGGTAAGAGAGAAAACTGAAAATTACTGAACTGATATAATCAGGGTGAGAATCGAATTTTTATCATTAAGTAGAATTAGCTCAGTCAGTGGGCGTTTTAGAGGAGTTGCTTTCTTCGAGAATTAACACAAAGTGGTCGGATATTCTCATTTAGGCAGAATATTGGATTATCTCATGCGTATCCCAGGATTTCCAGGTGAAACATCAAATCCACCAAATTTGGGAGTGAACAGATTCACTCACATTGGTATCTTTGTGATAAATTCGAATAAAAAGGCAGGTGATCATACGACAGGAAATTACTTGTTTCCGTTTGACTTTACATGTTTTACACTTACGTGACTCAGAATATTTCAATTCATAGCTAATGTTTATTCGTTATTTTGCTTTTTTTATGGTCGATGTGAAAAATAAAATGCTGCTCAGGTGCAAAGACAGAAGTATGTGAAATCGTTAAGGAATCACCATTAGCCCTTAAATTAAAAGTTTTGGCCACAAAATAAAGTAATATTAAGTGTTCCGAAATCAGCCCGTCCACTAGTCCAGGGTCAGGTCAACTTTTAAATATAGTGCATTAACCTATAAAACATGTTTTGAAATATTTGAAACCACACACCAACATTTAGACACCTGTTAGATGGGTCCGAGCCCTACTTGTCACCAAGCACAGCTGGTGTTAGTTATAAGTAGTACGGACAAAATAACTATCCATCTCGGTCTAATAATGGGGTCCCCAAAGTTGATTCGGAATTCCATAAACACGTCCACGTAAACTTTAACAAACTTCTTAGGCATGAAATTTTAATTTTTAATAACCTTGAGTTAAAGACTTCAGTCAGCTAGATTAAGTAAACTTTGTGAACTGTTAAATCAAATAACAAGCAATGCGATTTGCCATCAAATGTAACAGACTAACTTTGCCATTGTTAGGATTGAAAGCGAATGTTGAATGTTCTCGTCCTCCAGTTAATAGTGAATCTTCTGTGAGCATAAAATTTGAAGAGAATAAAGAGTCGATGCTCAGTGGTAATGCTTTAAGTGATGCACCACCTAATAGATCTGAGCCATTTGTCAGCGTTCTCTCCATCAAAAAAAGTTGGCCATCAAGAGAAGGAACAATACTATATGATTTCGTTTTTGTTATGAGCTAAAATATGTGATAGTTATCAAGCCGTCAGGATAAGATACCTGGAGATCACTCAAGCTCTGGGAAACAAGAGGAGGGCCATCTATCTTCCAAAACAACTTTCCACTTCTTATATCTAAGCCGATGAACGAACCATCAACAGTATTTGCTATTAACACCCTACAATTAAAAAGCGATATTTTCCGAACGTGAATTCGTACCCTTCCGAACCGTACGAATATATGCCTCTAACATGTATGTATACTATACATGTGAAAATACAAACAGAAAGGTATGCAGACAAAGAATTCAGAGACATAGTAATGACATCATTCGTCAGGCTGATCCTGACTCTTTTGAACGAAATCCAAGGTCGACCTAATCCGTCAATCGACAATCTTCAATTGAAAAAATGAGTACAATCTTAAATGACAAATCAAAGTTTCAAAAAACAACTGACCAGAAAGATTTGAATAATAAGATAGAGAATGAGCTTACCAGATCTTTGAAGAAGCTCAGGGACCAACAGGCTATCTCATCGGGTTTATATGAAATGATTAAACCTGTGGGAACCCATCTGCCGAGATTGTATGGATTGCCAAAGGTGCACAAACCAGGTGTTCCATTAAGACCTATTTTAGATATGTATAACTCTCCTTACCATACTATAGCTAAGTGGTTGGTAACTGTATTGAAATCTCTACACGAAAAGCTTGTAAAATATAGTGTTAAGGATGTGTTCCAATTTGTTGATAAAATCAAAAATGCAAATACGTTGGGACTAAAGATGATGTCATTGGATGTAACATCGTTATTCACAAACGTCTCACTCATAGAGACTGTAGAATATATAGGTGAACAGCTGATAGAATATGAAATTGAAACCACTGTCCCTATTAGTGTCGTGAAAGAGTTATTACTCAAATGCACCATGAATGTAAATTTCAAGTTCAACGGTGAAATATATAGGCAAACAGATGGCTTGGCGATGGGTTCACCACTGGGCCCTATACTAGCTGATATATTTCTGGCCAAACTAGAAAATGGTCCACTAAAGAAGATTATTCGCAACTTCACATTTTACTGTAGATACGTGGATGACACGTTCATCCTCTGTAAAGATAATACGTCGCCGCAAGAGGTTCTTAGGCGATTTAATGAAGTGCATCCAGCCATTCAGTTTACATCGGAAGAAGAGAGTAATGGCCAAATATCCTTTTTGGACGTTCTCTTGACTAAGAGAGCGGATGGATCATTAAAAAGGAATATAAACAGAAAATGTACATGGACTGGGCAGTATACGAATTTCCTGAGCTTTGTACCTCTTCAGTACAAACGAAATTTGATCAAAAACCTGAGCTACCGTATTCGCACTATATGTTCTACTGATATAGTCGAACAAGAGCTTACCACCTTGCATAATACTCTTAGGGAGAACGGCTACCCTAGAAAGTTTATAATTAAATACATGGTCTCGAAGGTGAAAGCAAGCGAAATACAAACAGTGAAGAAGAAATCCCTGTTCATGCGTCTACAATTTAGAGGGAATGCGGCTAGAGAAATACTAACTCAGAGATTACGTAGGACAATACAAAAGTCTTTTAACGCCGGAGAACTGCGATTAGTGTTTTCTACACGTCCAATGGTTACACCGAAGCTAAAAGATGAATTACCTAGTATGACCACTTCATTTTGTATTTATCAGTTCAACTGCTCCTGTGGAGCGAGTTATATTGGTCGAAGTTCTAGGAATTTACATTTTCGTGCTCGTGAACACCTTCCAGCGTGGCTAAATAAAGGTTTGATGAAGAAGGTGAACAGCTCAATATTGGCCCATTTAGTACAAACCGTTCATAGTGCCAGTATAAACCAATCTTTTTCAATTATTTATAAGGTAAGTAATTTCTTGCCAAAACTGATCAGACTGAAAATCCGTCAAACGGCTGAGGCAATAGCCATCCGGATGAAGAAACCGGAGCTTTGCGTACAGAAGAAATATATTCAACCACTCCTCCTCCCCTGGCCGACATCAAGGCCAATTAATCAATCGTAATCTTAACTATTGAATGAACTAATTTGACTATGACCTTTCGTAGTCAATTGTAATTGTCCCTGTTTTCCTTATTCATAAATCTTTGTGTTATTATTATTATTATTATTATTATTGTTCATACTATTGGTTAAACATCATTAATCTCCACTATACATGATTCAGTCATTTCGCATTCACCCCTCCGTATTACGTCTTACTTATTTGATCGAATTGTAATTGCACTATTATTCCTCTCTCACCCTATTTGACCCATATTTATTTTGATCATGGATCTTAAAATTTTAGTTAACATATAAGCTGATTCAAGTTAACATTCTATATAAGTCATATCAACATTAACAATTTTATTGTATTTTGTTTATCACAATCCTAAATTCACATGCTCTAAACGATGTACTTTGCCCTTAACCTGGCCATTTTTTCGGATTATTAATTTGGATATATAATTGTAGAACCTGAAGAGAATTTATCGAAAAGAATATTCTTCGTTCAACTACTAGTCTTTTAATATGACGGGAATCTTTAAACAATCTTCAATCTGCAAAAACGGTTATCAAATCAGTTGTATTAATTCTTACTGCACATTTTTTGTGAAAATTCAGTTTCGGCTTGAAAACATCTACTGTTAGTCCTGATAATATTAGTTCCAGTAAGGCGTTTTAGTCTATTACTATTTGATGTTCATAGATGGGATTTCAACCTGAGTTTATTCGATCGCCGTTTTCAGAGATAAATAGTTCTAGTGAAATCAAAAAGGTAGAAGCGAAAAAGATGTCTGATGTGGACAAATTCGACGTTGTCAAGTCATGTAAGTGTATCACAGTCCGAAATTACGGTCGTGTTTTCGTCTATTAAGTTACCGAATATTTTATAATAATTTCCATCGCAGAAAAAATGCCACAGGTATTCAGGTTTTGACAACTCCTTTTCAAGTAACACCTTTATAATCGGAGTACTCTGACTCAGTCAAATCGGAATTCAGAAATGTAGGAGTTCGAAGATATATGGGAATAAAGAAAGATATGAATTGAAATCGGTCAGTTGTGAATTGCAGAAAAATGACAGCGTTGTAATTTAAACTTTAGAACAGGTTGAAATAATAAATGATGTAATAAATAAAAAAGGTCATAATGTTACCGGGGCGAAGAAAGATTTATAACTGTCTGTTTTTGAATACATATATCTGGTTTTAAACATTTGATTGCTATCGCTTCTGCAAATTTCAAAAGGTTGGAATTTGATTGTTTTTTAATCACCTTGAAGGACTTCACTGTAATAATAATAATATATTTCTGCATTTGCAGGTACACACCGTTTTTACAGGCATGATCTATAAATTACAACATTTGTTGGTTCACAAAATGTTTCCCAACTTATCAAGTTTATAGTTGTTATAGAGTGAAATCGTAGAGCGCTTGCTGTAAACTATGACCTTGAGAGGACGCGTACATCAAGTCTGTTCCAAACGTCAGAAGTTTCATATCTACGCTCTCAGAGCAAGATTCTGAAGAAGAAAAAACAAGAGAAACAGAAGAGTAGCAAGGCACTTGGATATGAATGTCAAACGTTGCTTAACATAATTGTAGTAGAACGGACAGAGGTATAATAAATTAGAATAAATTCATATTATGTCTTGTTAGTGAAATGAAGTCAGAGGCTCCATATTAGACAATGTACTAATAAAGAACAATGAGTTGTGATGTTTAACAAGTTGGAGTAAGCTCACACGAAGGAAAGGAAGTCAAGGCTGGTACAAGGAAGGCGGTTTATTAGAAGGGTGTGTATATAGAGGGTGAAGTGTTAAGAATACTAATGACTATATTTTTTGTTGTCTAACTTTTTTTCCATCTTTTGTTTGTCCGATGCCAGCCACACAATCCTAGTGTAAAAGTCCTAGTTAGCATGTTATAGGTTGTCTTAGTAGAATAGCTAATCCAGCATAATATTGGAAACATGAGTTTGAGTGGTGTGCGTAGGAAAACAATCTATATCACAGATTGATTGACTTATTCTCAATTATGAGGAGCCTGATACATACAAAATGTTCTGTCCCCACAAACACGAGTGGATTGAAGTTATCGCCCTCACCATCAATGCTTGCTGGTCAGTAACTCCATCCTCCCTCCTTCTGTGATGTTAGGCTCATTTAGGCTTATTTTTGTATATACGTCATACCTCACATAATCCTCTGTTTCACAAACTGTTGGAAAGCACTATTTCTATAAGTACCATTTTACAAGCTTATCAGGCAGTTACAAGCTATGGACTGTGGGTAAAGCATCGATGCAGTGCCTCTGTTGACTATAGTATAAAGTATAGTTTGCCAATCAGAGTATAAGGGTTAAGAAGGGTATATTGTAGGATAGTTGTTTATTTAAGCAGGCGGAAAAAGTATAGAAGTATATGAGTTGTGGATAAGAGAACGAGTGGAGAAATAATATTAATTGCTAGTCAACATAGTGTACTGAAGAGTAAAAGGTTAATACAGGATAAACAGGAAGGAACTCACAGTAACTTGGTTCTGATGTTATTTTCTGTTGTCCTAACCAGTTGATTGGTAACAGGCTCCATAGATGCAAGACCACTGGTAGTAGGCAGCCGATTGTGCGGTCCTCTTGACGTTTTAGGGTGATAGTGAGTGTCCCTTATCGATCGAGTTTAGTTTAACAGTAATGATAGGTCCAGTAAGTTACCTGTCTACTTCAAGTGAAGAAATAGGGTGGAAAAAGTAATTAATACAACTGCAAAGTAGGAAAAATAAGGCAAACTGAACTTGAAGTCCATTTTGATCTAGACATGGAGAGAGCCTATGATGTCTGAGTGGGGCGCAGATGTGTTCATACGTGCAAGATCAGTGCAAGTGAGGGCTTGATCAAGCAGTTTTACAAACGTATGTAATTCAACTGCCATGCGAGTTTCGGAGGGAAGACTGTTCCATATTATTGCATACTTGGTGAGGAAGAAGTTTTCCCGAGTTTTTGATCTGTATTTCACAACTTTGACGGTAGATACTTTGTTTCGAAGTCCGTATTCATGTAAAGAATCCATGTCCCATGTCGAAAAGATGTCTTGCAATGGCACTGCTGAAAGTCGCGTTGCGAATGTGCAATTGATGGTCAAGGATAGGTCCTTTGAATGTAGGAGCTTCTAAGTGTCGCAAGCTTATGTTCCATTGGAATGTCTAAGGCTTTGATGATGATGATGATGATGATGATGATGATGATGATGATGATGATGATGATGATGATGATGATGATGATGATGATGATGATGATGATGATGATGATGATGATGATGATGATGATGATG